TTTTACTAGAGGAACTGGAAATCTGGGAAAGAATCTAGTACACCGAAAGAGAAGTACTACTGAGATTAGTCAGAATAGTAAGAAAAATACCGGGATATTTAAAAACTTACTGCCACTTAATCTCAAATATATACCACCAGTAGATAGTCATGTGAAAACTGAATGATTACAAAACAATAATAGCAGTATATATTGACACAATCATATTTCTACGAACAGACAAGACGGGATCCAAGAACTGTACCAAATAACAGAGACTACATCACTTGATGAATTTCAACAGCAGCAACAATTAAAATGGATAGCATTTGTGACTTGAAGAGAAAATAATAACATAATCAAAATGTTGACATTGCACACTACATTAAACAAAAAGTTAGGAAGGGGAAAATCATCAATAAATGAGAGACATAACAGTGAACTTGAGAAACCTATTTTCTGAAAAAAATTTTAATAGCAATACTTTATAAATTTCAACCGACAGCTGATTTCACAGTCAACTGATGCCAAATATTTTGTTATAAGTAAACAGCTAATATTACCATTATCGTTACTATATTTTATATAATAAAGTATAAAGATATAATTTGTTGTGTCTATATATATACAAATGAATTATATTTAATATTAATTATGTGAGTGGGTCATGTAAGAATAATTACGTGAGTAATAATTTTCAGCTGCTATTGCTTGAAAAGGTAAGAGTCATTTAGCTGTGATAATGATTTGTTCAGGTGTTCATAGCAATATTCTTTTCCTTCGGGTACTGTTGTGGCATGATATTAATATATTTTGACAAGGTATTAACTAATGAGACAGGTAGAAATAGATTCACATATGAACTGAAATTCAAAATTTCTTCGATTAGTTTTCAATACTGCTTATTTAAAATCTATCTATCTATCTATCTATCTATCTATCTATCTATCTTAATACTCATATATCTGTTTTAATAGCTATCTATGTTAATATCTAACTATCTATCTATGTTAATATCTAAGTGTTAATATTATATATATATATAAATATATATATATATATATATATATGTGTGTGTGTGTGTGTGTGTGTGTGTGTGTGTGTGTGAGGGTAGCAGTTACTGTAAAATCAAATCAATTCCTTGTTTACTCGATGGAGATCTAATTTTATCTCCTTTTAACCTTGCACAGTTATCACCCTTTCTTTTCCACTGTACTCAGTGGAAAAAGGATTGAACTCACAATTTATTCCATCAAATTCATGAACCAACACTTTAATCCTCTCGGCTATTGCCCCATGAGAGGTATCCCTATACATGGTTTGCTGGACTAGTACATTTAACCTCTGTAGATTTAATAATGGCTTCAGTCCGAAATTCCCTGAAGGTTACCCAGATCGACACATCGAATTCAACAGCTGAAACATTATGATCATAATACAGACGTGGAAATTATGTCTGAATATAAGTAATATAAACAATGATAACATAAATATATACAATCATCCATATTCAATTTTTGGCCGAGTTTATAATTTTTTCCTTTACACTCATTTTCTGTCATTTTTTTAAATTATATATTTTATTTATATAGTGCTTGTCAGTGAGGAAATGTATTATCACATGATATAAATATAAACATACCAGTATATTTTCTTATACTTATACTATGTTTTACATGTCTAACACTCAGACGTAGGTTGTTGCTTCAAGGTCAGATATTGCTAAGGTCAAATGTACTTTAAATTTAAACGTGTACGATACCATCAATAGCAGTGCTTCACAACCGGTGTTCTTTAGAACACTAGGTTTCACCGAGAAACAGTGATAAATCGGCTAATATATTTCAGTAAATTTTATATAATTTTATATTCATAATTTTACTATACGCGTCTGGCATATTGTTGGGAAATCCTTAGTTATTATAATAAAGTTTTCATCTTCTTATATTATTTAAAATTATAATAATCATCGGGAATGTATTTAGCGATGTCTATTTGGCGTCAATGTGAAACCGCCTTTATGGGTTAGTAGAGAGGACCTATACGTGGTAGATTTGTGTATCATTGTATATTATGTTTACTACCTGAACTGCTATAAAAATATAAAAGAGTTATTAATAATGGTACATAGTTTATTTTTATGTAGGGGTTCCCTGAAACATGGAAACTATTTAAGGATTCCACAAGATTACAATGTTTGAGAAACACTAGTCTATAGAGTTAAAATCGAATATTCTTATTTCTATTTACATGTTGCATACTGTGTATAATGATAAAGTACATCCGCGTCTTGGGTATGACGATAAACTACATCTGGCAGCAAGGCCTCTAATCAGGAGGTTTGAGTAGCGTGGAACCACCTCTTAATACTTGGTGTTTCCAGTTTTATCCTGAACCGGGTTGTTTTCATCTGTTAGGTTCCCATCTATGGGAAAATATCCCCCAAACTCCGATCAAAATAATTTGAAAGTGTAAAAATATGTTTTAATACCAGCAATACATTTTTGGAAAGTTTTCTTTTTACTAGCAATACATTTTTACCACATCATTAACAGTAATACATTTTTGTAAAAAAATTATTACCAGTAATATATTTTTGGAAAAAAATTATTACTAACATTACATTTAAAAATAGTATTAGCAGCAATACATTTGTGAAAAAACAAAAAATATTACCATCAATACACGTAGAAAAAAATTACCAGCAATACATTTTTGTAAAAAATATTACCATA